CCTTACCATACAGGATTTTAGAAAAGTGGGCAAAGCATAACGTGCACACTTACCACTTATGTGGATTTTAGAAAGTGGGCAAAGCATAACGTGCACACTTACCACTTATGTGGATTTTAGAAAGTGGGCAAAGCATAACGTGCACACTTACCAGCTATGTGGATTTTAGAAAGTGCGCAAAGCATAACGTGCACACTTACCACTTATGTGGATTTATAGAAAAGTGCGCAAAGCTTAACGTGTGCACTTACCATAGTGCACTTCCCTTAGAATAACTTCCCTTAGAGTTTTCCAAGCATCTGTTTACACCACTGCCCGAGACAGCATTACACAGGAAGGTTCTCGTAATGCCACCTATACCTCCCACTCGATGCCTCAGCAAGAGGGGATATCCTGGTGATCGGGAAACCCCTCAGGGCGACCCAGATAAGGTAGACCGGTCAGGGTAGCATGAAAGCGTAACCCCAGCCCGGACGTCCAGGAAATTTTTGCAGTGACGCGCCGGGGGCCTGATGATCACGAAGGCTCCCGCAGAAGCCTGTGTTATGGCCGCATGATCCAGGAAGTATGAAGCCGAAACCCGGCTTTTCTTACTGTCTGGACATATATCGACGAGTGAAATAACACTGCAAGTCATGCACCCGGTTTCTGAACCCAGCAGAGGGGGTGCTCATCGAGGACCTACCCTAGAAAAGGGACAGAAACACACAGGTCCCAGGAAACACTGCAAAGAAACTAGCAGAAGAGTTCATGTGCAATGAAGCGACAGCCCGACCTGCTGCTGCTGCGAATGCCCTGGCATCCGAGCGAGATGTCAAGGAGGGGAGTCTTAGAGGACGTCTCACCCATAGAGCAATAGCTGGCCAGCGTCTCTCTATAGGGGCATCTTCACATAACTGCTTTCGCGCATTGCCTCGATGTTGGCAAATAACGTTCCTCGAAAAAAGAGACAAACGAGAGCGGCGCTTTTCCCTTGGAAAAAACGCTCGCAGTGCACGCCGATTGCCCCCTTGGAGACATCGCGTGCGTGCTCTTCGCCCAAACAAATAACGCATAGATCGTGTGTGTCATCAGATGTTAAACAACGTCAACACTGATGCACACATCCTTAAACGCTTTGCTAGTGCTCGCCATAATGAGATTGATAGAGATCTTTCTTACCACAGAAATGCACGCTTCAAACAAAACAATTAATGAAGACGAAGAAGAGAATGATGTGTGCTCCCGGCGCCTATTTATACTATAGTCGCGCCGGTAGTGACGTCATGGCTGTCGCCGGCCAACGAGTTGGTGTTTTTTCAATGTATGCGTCAGACACGGGTCACGACGAGGCGTTCCCCATAGCGACCCCTAGAGGATGCAGTTCGAAGTTCCCATGAAAGGGAACACAGGAATAAACTGCATCTTAAAATACATTAAAATAGAAAACATTTATTTCACAATATTGTTTTTACTGTGTTTTTGATCAAACAAATGCATCCTTGGTGAGCATAAGACACTTTTTAAAAAACATTTAAAAAATATTATTGACTCCAAACTTTTGAATGCTAGTGCACGTTTCTTTGTTTTTTTTACTGATACATAATATATATGTAAATATTTATATAAATAAATATACATATAAAATAGTTCTACAGCAAATGTTTTTTAGTTTTTTTTAAGTTTATATATATTTTTTGTTAACTGTTATATGCTTATCGGGTGCTTATCATAACCTGTGTGTGTGTGTGTGCAGCACCGGTGGTGACGGCTACGGGGCCGAACTTTTCTCTCGGAGAGCTGCAGGGTCATCTTGCTTATGATCTGAACCCTTCAGGGGTGGGAATGAGGAGAACCCTTCCCAGCACCTCCTCTAGTGGGTAAGTACACACGTCTCCATCATCTGCCTGCAGCAGGCTCACCTCCTCTTGTCAAAGGCACTGTGTCCTTGAGCTACTTTTGACTGGTGATGAGATCTAACCTGTGTTTGTGCACGTGTATGTACAGTATGTAGTTTAAAAAAGAATCACGGAAATTAAGCCACATCTGGTTATCGCAATGCAAAATTGTCTCAAATTAAAATAAGGATTCCATCCATGTCCTGCATTGATGAAGTCATGAACATCCTCTGATTCAGTCCAGTGGTTCAGTCTGATGTTAATTAAGGAGTAAACCAGATAGTTTTACCATATTGTCCACAGTTGTTGTCAAATTGTTCTTTTCAGTGTCTGATGTCCTATGATGTCCAAAAATAATGACTTTTGACCTTTTGTTTTTAAAATGACCGTCTTTTTCAAAAGGGACTGTTTTTTATTTATAAGATCTATAGAATACTTTTATTCAGGTATTATATATGTATTTAATGTAGTTTACTTTCCGTAACTGAAAATAGATCTGTCCACTGTATGAACTCCATTTGCTTATTGATCATTTAAGTGGGAATTTCCATTCAACTTCAAGACTGTTTAAAATAAAACAAGGCAACTTTCACAAACATATTTAAATGTATAACTAAATATTAATAATATAAGTTAATTATTAATATACAGTATAAATTTATTTATATATATATATATATATACATACACACACACACACACACACACATACATATATACATATTCATGTATCAAATGGTTAACGTTGATTGAACTTTCACTTTTGCTTCAACAAAAGCTGTAGTGGCATCCAACTCAGTTACCTCAAGAACAGAAGCAACAGCAGCTACACTGTAGAGGTTTGTACGCCAGCTGTTGTTTTTGATTTTGGTGGTCCTTTGTGTTGCCATGAATGCAACAGCCTGCAGCAGTCGCTGATTGGTTCAAACCAGAATTAGTTTAGCCTATTTATCCGAACCAGGCTGAAACTGTGGAGCATGTGAGATTTCAGGGTGGTTAGACAAGGCTTTGAGAATTTTAAATGTACCTGTCAGCATCTCTCCATGATAAATGTTGGCTGTTAACTATTTCTATATTGGCTGAATTAGACAGAGGGAGCCCGAGGCATTTTGAACAGAAGACACCAGTACACCTTGGTGACAGAAACATTTGTCATGTGTGCGTCATGGCAAAAACCACCCCAAGCAATGCACAAAGCTGAATAAAAACATCACAAAACTAAATCCTTACATGCACCTGGGAGCGTTAGGCGAGTGTAAAAGAACACGGCCCCTCACTCTGGTCTGCTGAGGGCAGTTTATTTGATTTATCTGCTTTTGTGGTTAGCCAGAGCCTCAGTCCTGATTAATGCACTTATTTTCCATTAAACGCACTGCAAAGCTAAAACAAAAGGTGAATGTTGGCAAACTGCTCATCGTAGCTGAGTGCCTGGGAAAGCAGGTCCAAAGGAACATCCATAAGGCACATCCAGACAGTTTGGGAGAGCATTTTTTTTGTCTGTGTGAGAAATAAGGTCTGACTAAACAATGCTTTGCTCTGTTATTAATTTTATTTTCTTCTCTTTCTCCTTTTTTTTTTTTTTTACTCACACAGAAGTAAGAGACACAAGTCAGGATCCATGGAGGATGATATAGACACCAGCCCAGGGGGCGAGTACTACACTTCTCCCAACTCCCCTGCCAGCAGTTCACGCAACTGGCCAGAGGAGATGGAAGGAGGTGAGCCTTGTGTTTGATCTTACAATACAACATTTTAACACAGAAATACAGAGTTATAAATTGAAATAAAAAGTTCCATTTGCTTTAATTTTATCAAAGGTAAACTTATTGGGCAAAAACTTTAGAACTGGGCCATGAACTTATTACAGACACAATCCCTCTGGAGCAACCTGGATTAAGATACAATGGTGGCTTATATTGATTGTACCAGCAACTTTCCAGTTCCCTTGATCCTTCACCACCCATAATAACGTTCTTCTTGTGCATGAGGGCTTGAAGGGCTACAAATTTTTATACTACTGTAGTCACACTGTAAAAAGTGTGGAGGAATTTTTAAGTGATCTAACTCTTAAAATTACTTAGGTCTGTGTAACTTAACGTAAGGTTGGTTCTGAAATATTAATATTTAACAATATTTTATTTTTATTTATAATTTTATTTATTTTTATATATATATCATTTTAATATAATATTTATTAAAACCTGTTTTTTTCATCTAATATTCATATTTCATTTTATTTCAGCGATTTTGTATAGTTTAAAGATTTTTAATAGTTTTATAGATAATAGATTAAAGATTTTCAGTAGTTTTAATAGTTTTAGAGTTTTCGTTTTTGTTAACAGTAACAACACTGGATCATGGTGTGGTACGTTTCAATTCCAAAATATTCTTAAATATTTGGCCATTGCAGATTTCCATACAAACATAATGACACAGAAATGCATATAATTTGTAGAAGAATCTTCTTCCTGCTGTCACTATGTGTACAGATGGAACTGAAGTGACATGATCTAGTCGACACAGATCCAAAGCAGTGAATAGTGGTAGAACTAATCGATTTGTCAACTAGTGGGTGCCTATTGTGCATGGAGATTTTCATCTCCATAAGCATAGTCGCGGGCTTCATTTTTGAAGTACATTCAGATAGTGAATGACAAACACATCAGGTTTTCAACTGCAGTAGAGGAAGTCTAAAATCACAAGCTTAGACTGAAGTTGGATTTGAATTTCCTAAACGTAGTGCCAAATCCTAATTAATTCATGAACTCTCGTTTTTGTGAAAGTCTGCAGAAAGCAGCACTGCACTCTGCACTGTACTGTTCTGTACCTTGGAGCAGTATTTGCTGCATTTTCATACTGACAGAGACCTATTTGCATGGTTGTAGTTAAGCGTTTGACCTTTGACCTTTCAGTTGTCTACTCCTCTACAAATCAAATTTTTCCATCATCTTCATGATCTTCATGAAGCATTTCTAAGTAAATGAATTACAACTAGAATAACTGGGTTGGCTGGTTAACTGCTGTGCTCATAATGCAAATTTGTGGTTCTGTTTTGGAGGCGTTTCGATTTATGTAGTGATATGGAAGAAATACATTGGGAAGAACTCATTTGTGACAGTGCATATCAGAATCACTGCCTTTAATGCTATGAATAGCTGAGGGGTTTTGACAGCCATTAATCCACCGTAAAGAGCCTTCTAAATCTTAAAAATCAATTTTAGACAGCTATTTTTATGCTGAAGCAGCTCTACTAATTTCAGATCAAGTAGGGCAAGCAGTAGATATAGAAACCATACTGTAATCCACCTCTCTTGTATAAGGGGATGTTTCAATGAGCAATCTTTGTAGGGAAAGTTTAGTTTGTGGGAGCATAAAAGGATATGTGTGGTTCGTAGGTGCAAATGCAGTGTAGACGTTAGTTCATTGTTTGTACTGAAATATATTTGATGTTGAGTGATCTTGCTTGGTGTGCTTTTAATAGTATGTAAAATTAGAGTTAAATGGAAGGCTCTGGTCTAAAACCTGTTGAGCTGCCTATGGAGAAAGCATTTTAAGGTAACATACTGTAGGCTCCCGATAAGAAGGCTGTTTATCTGAATTATTTTGCCTCATAGGATAGCTTATTTTTGGCCGGATTCTAAGGCTTGTATCTTTTCCGGAGAATGTAATCCCATAATGCATTGTGACAAGCTCTGAGCAAAAATAAATCCAATAGACTTCTTTTAAGACATTACAAAATCTTACCGACCCCCAAATGTTGAACGGTTGTGCAATTATAATAATGTGCAATGCATGATTATTGCATAACCATTCAAAAATTTGAGGTCAGTAAGATTTTGTAATGTTTTTTAAAGGTGTCTCTTATGCTCTCTAAGGCTGTAGTTATTTGATCAAAAGTACAGTAAATACTATGAAATATTATTACCATTTAAAATGACTTAAAATGTTTTCTATTTAAAAATCTTTTAAAATTTAATTTATTCCTGTGAAGGTAAAGCTGAATTTTCAGCAGCCATTACTGTCTTAGTCAAATGTTATTTTTCAATGTTGAAAGATACATTTTAAAACAGTTTAATGTAATTGAAATTATTTTGCCCATTGATTATTTTACCCGTTATTTTAGCATTTTTGTTCATTAAGAGTATTGTGCCATTAGCTTAGCAACATGGTAACGAAAATGAGGGTTTTGTATAGGAAGTAGGTGGCAAGGCAGCTTGTTTAGAAACAGAGCTAAAATGCCTTAAATGAAAAAAAAAACATAAATTTACAATTAATTTGCATGCATTAAGTCTAATATTTATTGTTTAATATTTATTCACAAGCAAAAAGATTTCAAGTTTGTAGCTCCAGATCAGTCTAAAACCTTCAGAGTTTATTGTGAGATTAGAAAGGTGCTGAGTTGCCGATTCAGACCTTGCATATAACATCTGACCTCTGTCACATCCTTCTGAATATCCATGAACCCTCCAGGCAAAACTGTTGCTTAAGATCTCAGGAGACCTGCTTCACCCCTCCCCACTGATCCATAACCAGCAGGAATCTGAAATCCATCACTGTGTAAGAAGTTATCAGCACTGGTCTCATATCAGCCTCTAGGGCAAATGCCATCACTGTACGCACAGTTGAACCCCTGCGGTGGACCGACCCTGCCCATCTAGCTTCCTAATGAGTTTCTCTTTAACAATCCCCCAGCTGATTGCTCGGTTCTCGTGCACCTGTGGATTAAGATCTAAAGGTTAAAATGCGGAACTGTTTCCATTAATGATTCGTGTCCCTCAAGGTATGTTTCACTCAAAAATGGAAATCCTGTCATCATTTACTCACCCTCATGTCATTTCAAACCTTTTTGACTTTTTTCTTCTGCGGAACATAAAAGAAACTTTGAAGAATGTGGGAACCCATTGACTTTTAATGTTCGGAAGAAATATACAAATCTGCTTTTGTGTTCCACAGAAGAAAGTAAGTCAAACTGGTTTGAAGTGACATGAGGGTGAGTAAATGATGACAGAATTTTCATTTTTGGGTGAACTATTCCTTTAAATGACATCCTAAAACCGCAAACAATTTGAAAGAATGTAGAAGATCTCCACATATCCTCCTTTGAAAACAAAGCAGTTTGTGGAAACTTAAGACATATATGATTCACTTATTAGGAAAAGCTTCCATAACGGGAAGGTTCTAAATAGGTCACTCTGACATCCATATGGAGACTGTATCTTTCCTTTGGCCTTAAATAACCGGTGCAGATCATCAGCTACAGACATATTTTCCCATAATCCCATTGGCCTGGCTGCAAGGAGAGAGTGCACTTTCTGCATTGCACTGCAGCACTGTCAAAACTACGGTTCTCTCGTCATACTGCACCACCTTGTGGTCAGTTGTGGTAACTAGAAGCATCTGCTGTGACCTGACAGAAGCATCGAGAGTGACCACGCAGTGCTCATTAATTAGCTGACTAAGCTTTCCTTTAGACTCAGAAAAGTTTGTCCTTGTATAGAACAATGGAGCTGAATTTGCAGTATTTTGTATAAGCGAAGCACGCGCTCTCCTCCCCCTCCTCCATCTCTCTCAACTTTTCTCTCTTTTTTTACCCAGGAATCTCCCCTACAGTTAAGAAGACAGAGATGGATAGTCCATCTCCTCAGGAGAGCTCTCCACGTCTCGGCTTCACACAGCACCACAGACCTGTCATTGCAGTGCACAGCGGTGAGGGGACAACACACACATGCATATATCTGTCTGTTCTGTCATCACAGACCTGCACACACAAACACAGCAAATGGCTAGCTGGGAGGAACAAATATACAATTTCTACTGTTGTGTTCAGTTATCCAAACTGTCTCTTCTAATATCAACATATCATGCACAACCTACTTACATAAGGCCCTGTTGAAAATCAACATGATTTGCGATTCACAACATATTTTGAAACCTTAAATGTGAAGTTTTTTGGATGAAATGAACAAGAAAAAATGTAAACTTTTCTCTCTTTTTTTACCCAGGAATCTCCCCTACAGTTAAGAAGACAGAGATGGATAGTCCATCTCCTCAGGAGAGCTCTCCACGTCTCGGCTTCACACAGCACCACAGACCTGTCATTGCAGTGCACAGCGGTGAGGGGACAACACACATGCATATATCTGTCTGTTCTGTCATCACAGGCCTGCACACACAAACACAGCAAATGGCTAGCTGGGAGGAACAAATATACAAGTTCTACTGTTGTGTTCAGTTATCCAAACTGTCTCTTCTAATATCAACATATCATGCACAACCTACTTACATATGGCCCTGTTGAAAATCAACATGATTTGCGATTCACAACATATTTTGAAACCTTAAATGTGAAGTTTTTTGGATGAAATGAACAAGAAAAAATGTTGGGGCTTTATTTTAGACATCAGGAAATGTTTAGATGGTGAAAAGTGGGAATAACATTATACCAATGGAGCCACTTTGCATGCAAAAATAAATTGTCTAAATAGTTATTTGGCTGTTGGGTAACACTATCTTAAGTGATGTCAGAAGGAAAAGAAAGTTGTTTCAGGGCAAGTTATTACATTTTGATGAAAGATTATAAAGTCAAACCATTTTTTCCTTGGTAAAAACATGAATTGTTCATATTAAGACCGGGATTGTGCATTAAAGTAAGTAGCGACAGATTTTTCTTCCGCATTGTGAAGTACATTTGTGTGAAACAGATTATTGAAAAACAAAAAATGCAGGGCAGGGACTTAGTTCTATCCATTGGTTGTTGATTGGCTGGAGGCATATCTGAATGCAGGTGATTGTAAGAAAGGGGCTGGTGAAACATATGAAACATGCACAGATAAATCGTTCACAATTTCATTGGGCTGAGAAGTGTCAGGTCATTTCTTATAGTAGTACAGTGATCTGTCATCTCCAGAGCCTCACAGCTAGCTGAGTTATGCTCTAACAATTAGCCTGGCTGTTCAGATGAATTGGTGGATTATGTCAGCCATATGCTGCCTGCCCCATAACATCAAGCTGATAATAGCTCTGCTGGGCTTTGTCAAATGTGTTACAGCATACAAGTGTTCTGTAGAAAGTTATGATGGTTAAATATGACAGGGACTTGACAACACAACAAAGATCTCTTTAATTATGACATTGGTTATACACTATGCAGCTTTATCAGATGTGTCACTAAATTGCAAGGGATGAGCGTTATTGTGTTTGTTTATATACAGGTACACTAATGTTCAAATGTTTGGGATTGGTAAGATTTTTTAGATGTTTTTGAAAGAAGTCTGTGAAGAAGTATGCTCACCAATAAAATATAATTTATTTTTGTAATGGCAAAGCTGAATTTTCTGAAAAAAAAGCCATTACTCCAGGCTTTAGTGTCACATGATTCTTCAGAAATCATTCTAATATGCTGATTTGGTTCAAAGTTTAAAATATTAATGTAATAATAATAGTATTGTTTCAGTTTTTCAGGATTCTTTAATAAATAGAAGCTCAAAAGAACAGCATATATTTGAAAAATAAATATTTTGTAACATTATAAATGTATTTACTGTCACTTTTGATAATTTAATGCATCCTTGCTGAATAAAAGTATTAATTTCTTTTTAAAAAATCTCACTGATCACAAACTTTTGAACAGTACTGTTCTTTGATGATGTTATTTCAAATACAAAGCCAATTATTGTTTGTTTCAAAGCTGAAGTCCACAGGTATTGAAGCTGACAGGAATTATTCACTGGAAAATTACAATTCTGTCATCGTTTACTCAGCCTAATGTAATTTCAACTTGTATGACTTTTTACTTCTGTCGCGCATAAAAGGAGATATGTTAGTAAATGTTCATGCTGCTCTTTTTCATGCAATAATCAGGGACTGAAAAGTACTAAATATAAGTAAAAGCACCAATGCTTCCAGTAAATAAGGCATAATATCATTGTGTCTTTCAGGTATTTCTCGGAGTCCACATCCCTCCTCGTCTCTGCACTTCCCTGGCGCTCCCATTCTCCCCCAGACTGCCTCCACCTACTTCCCGCACACGGCCATCCGGTACCCCCCGCACCTCAGCTCTCAAGACCCGCTCAAGGATCTTGTCTCTCTGGCCTGTGACCCGTCCAATCAACAGCCCAGCCCGGTAAGTTCATCCCATTGAGCATGCTGATACACCTTATATAGACTTCAGCTTTCATTCACGCTCTAACAATCATAGATGAGGGTACGTGAAAACGTATCAAAAACTACCCTATCATCAGCATCACTTGTTCAGCTCAACCAATCAACAGCCATAATTCTGGTAGGACCCCATATGGTCCCTTACATGAGCCAAGCACAGCTCGGAGCCTGCCGTGTTTATTCATATTCAACACTGGATTTGTTAGTATGCCAAATTAAAAAGGTTGAATTTGTACGTAAAGGGGTCATATTTTCCATGACAGTCAAAAACTGTGGAATAAAACAGCAAATCTGAATGTCCTGACTTAGTGGATGAAAAGTGCTGCTGCTCACTTCACATGCAACAGGGAGCATTTATTAAAGGGACAGTTCACCCAAAAATAAAAATTCTGTCAGAGTGGAAGTCAGTGGTAACCAAAGCTGTCTGGTTACCAACATTTTTCATTAAATATCTTCTTCTGTGTTAATCAGAAGAAAGTAAGTCATACAGACAGAATTTTCATTTTGAGTGAACTATTCCTTTAAAATCAGAGCAATTTCTTCTCATAATAACTTAATGTTCCATAATGACCCGGGATGTCATCTGAGTAACATCACTGAATCAACAGGGTGATCAGCTCTGGGATGATTCTGCTTGTTCTGACTGTGGACCAAGAATTAGCACTGGCTGGATGGCTTCATTCTGACAGTGACTTACAGAACTACACAAAGTGTGAATGGCTTCTCACTTTATCCTCAGGGGTGCCTGTAGGAGAGTCATGTGCCATTTCCACATCAGGCAGGGAGAGAGTGCGAGAACAGGAAATACAGCCAAGAAGGAGGAGATCTCTGAGTCTAGGGGTGTTGCTGATGTTGGCACAAATATGGGGGGAGAGAGAGACACACATTTATGAATCTTGCCCTGTGGCAGCCGTGCCCCGCCGATTCTGCATACTCATTAAAATTCCCCCTACTGCAGTCTGACCGTAGCCAAGCAGTCACAAAGAACAGCCGCAGCGGCCCACAATGCCGCTGACTCACTCACCAGCTATTGTTGTGCAGGGCAGTGAGTGTGCAATTTTACCCCGCGAGAATGCAAACGAGAGCCAAACCCTCTGAGAGACAAAGAGAACATGATGGAGGGTTTTATGGATTTGCGGCCAGGGTAGAACGATAGAATGATGCATAATGGTCCGTTCGCTAGAACAGTGTGCACAACGTTACTCTGGTTCTCCCACCATAACTGCTGATGGAAGGGGGAGGTGGAGATATGTGACTGGACTTTAAATTTTCATCAGATACCAAGTGATTTTTGCCACTTTAAAAAACTGATTAGCTAAAGAAATTAAGTACTTCAGACAAATACAGCTTGTTTGGAAAAAAGCGGCTCCGTCGACAATCCACAGCAGCTTTTAAATATTACAGGCGAATTTAGACATCACAATATTATAATTTTTAGTATGAAAAATGGATATTAATTTTGAGATTTGCTAAAGACTACATTTAACAGTGTTATTAAAGTATACGTTTGCCAGTTTTCAACCAACTTTGTATTGTTACAATGTTGGTAGCGTAAATGAACAATGTGTATTCTTTCTCCATGTTACACACACCCATCTCCGCTCACGGATAGTTGGATTGAGCCCAATGCATTATGGGTGTTGAAGATTCCTACCTTTTTGGCCAAAGGGAATGCCACAGCCCTTTTATCTGTTTTTTTTCTAGTCATTTAGCAACTTTTTTTTTTTTTTTTTTTTTTTACTTCACCTTAAGTTCACCACGTTTTATTAAGAGCCCATCTCAGTGGTGAATCACCCTTTAATTGAGCTTTAAGTAAGTGTTATATGATGATGTAAAATTCTGTATTGAGATCACAGAACCAGGCATGTCTTGAAATTTAACTCCAACATTTTCCAGGGAATTTTATTGTACTCAGAGCAGGTGGGGGCAGCAGAGAGGCTAATGCACTGTAGAGGTTTTTTAACAAATAAGATGTATGTCCTAATACTGTGTTCCATTCAATGTCAGATGCGAGATATTCCCACTATATTTTGTACAAGTTGTCCAATTAGATTTGGTCTTATGCTTGGAAAATTACACAAAATGGCAATGATGCAGTACCATTTGTTTTGCAGGTGTGCAAATATCAACAGAGATAGTTATGTACTATTTTTAACTGTCTCTATAAATATTGGCTTCACGGGTTTTATTATCTGTAATGTAGAATCTAATTTTGAAATCATTCCTTCAAACAATAGAGTATGGCACTGGCAATGCCAAGGTAATGGGTTTGATTCCAAGGGAATGCATGAACTGATGAATACCTTGTATATGTTGAATGCAATGTAAGTCGCTTAGGATAGGAGCATCTGCCATAAATAACATAAATGTAACAATTAACTGTGCCCTCACTGTCATGCATTTTTATCAGTGTCAGTTTTGAAGAGTTTGACATCTTTGTGGCGTTCTATTGCACTTTTCCAATTAAGTTGGAAATTCCAATTTTTTAAACTGAATGGAACACTGCATTAGTTCACCAAAAAGGATTAACATATTAAAGAACTGAAATCTTCGATGAGGTCAACCATGATATTTAGCTGATAGTCCTAAATATCCAGAGATCTTCAAGAGTTTTAGCACTGAAGGAAAAAAACAAAGATGAAGAGAAAGTAAGACAAACACAGAGACAGTAGATGCATGTATTATGATGTTAGCTGTGTAGAGGCAGTGAAGTATCCCTCCCCACAGTGGCTGACTATTGCCCTCTCTTCCTCTGCAGCTGAATGGCAGTGGTCAGGTGAAGGTATCCAGTCACTACATCTCCTCTCAGATGCTGGCCCCCCCGCTACCCCCTGGCCTGCCTCGTCTGACGCTGCCCCCAGAGTCCAAATCCAGCACCACCTCTGCAGATGCAGCTGCCAGCTCACCCACCTCCCCCAGTAAGTGGGACTCCTGCAACCTGTCCCTGTCTCTGTCCCACCTCTGACCATAGCTTTAGCTATAAACCAAACAGCAGCACACACACATAAATGGGTAGAGTTAAACCGCAGGATTTAGTAAAGTATACCTTTTTAGAGTGATTAAAATAGCTAAACTAATCGACTAATGAAGATCGCTGGCTCAGAGTTAGTGGTCTGGCTCATGTCATGAATCATTTACACAGTCACAAAGACACAACAAACAGTTGTCTTGGCTACTTGAATGGTTGACACATTTGAGCATATATATATTTACTCAAGTAAATTTAAAAAGTATCTATAGTTTATCAGAGTGTTTTTCTTTGGAAAACTTTACTTCACTACATTCCAAAGCATAATGTTGTACTTTTTACTGCACTTCATTTCATAAATAAAAGTTGTTGTTTGTTTTACCTTTAAAACTTGGGAACATAAAAAATGTTGTACTTTCTTGTACTCAAGTAAATCTTTGAATTACCTTGTAATGTAATTAAGTATTAAATTAGATTTAATATGAAACGTAGTGCAGTAAAAAGTACAATATTATGCTTTGGAATGTTGTGAAGTAAAGTTTTCTAAAGAAAAACACTGATACAGTACAGACACCTGAAAAGTACTTTTACAGCAGAGTAAAAATACTTCACTACTGTCTGCCTCTGTATATATATATATATATGAAATATATATACATATATATGAAATGTATGAACTAAAAATACTTTTTTTCTTGAGCATTTTTAGTGTTTTCTTTCATTTCAACTGAAAATTCAGCTTTGCCATCACTGGAATAAATTACATTTTAAAGTATATTAAATTAGAAGACAGTTGTTTTAAATGTTTTTACTTTATACTATTATTTTATTATAATTTTTTTAAGTAAATGCAGCTTTGGTAATAAACAATGTTTCATATGTTTTTTAAGTTAATTGGCATACTGTAACTATTGGCTTTTTACAGTTGCCATGCAGCGTTGAACTCGGCACATTCATATATATTTTAAAACAGCTTCAAAGTGAACTGTCTGTTATAAAAAAAATGGTGATTTCAATGTGAGAGAAACAAAGCAAATGTCTTTCTATCAGTAAACCGTATAAACACAGATACATTTGGATGACAATTCAATCAGCTTTAATGGGCCAGTGCTTGCTGCCCTGTCCATTAATAATGCTAATTTAATTATTAATGCAGAGAACAGCTCAATATGTTCACCATTCGCTGTGCTGCAGAATCCCTGATGATCAATTGCCTCAATACGCCATCTCACACAGTCGGACTCAATGCTCAGCATGATTATTCAGCTAGAATCACGTCCCGTAATCATGTCAGCTTATCCAAAGGTCCGTTTGATAAAGATGGATGCGTAGATTTTGTGTGTTCCTTATTTACCAACAAGACGAGGAGCATTTCCAAAGAAACATAAGAAAGCACATACAGTTTTTAAGAGATGAAGGTGCACATTCACTAACAACAGACTGAATTTACATAAGCAGACATACTTACATTTACATTTACATTTACATAATTAGCCTCCGCCACACAGAATATTTATTTACACAGTCTGACGGTTACAAACACAGAAACTGTGACCCAGTTTCAGCATCAGTTCAATGTCTGTGTGAAACAGATGCGTGCCATACACGCTCAAACTGCATTTTAGATCTTTACAGAATATAGTAATATTAAACTGTGTGTTTTAATCACTAAATCCACCAGGAACCAGATTTTGAAACTGACATTACAGAGATTTGCATAATGTTGAGAATTTCTCATCTTTTTGATGCTCTCACAACTTTATGGTCCCATTTTATTCCAATTTCTCTCTTTCTTTCAGCATACTCTGCTCCCGGGACGCCACCTGCCAACCGCTCCTTCGTAGGAATTGGTTCTCGAGACGCTAGCAGTCTGTATCAGGCACAGGTATCATAACACAAACCTCCATATACATTTTATATACACACAAACTCGGATTGTCCACTCTCAAAAACACAGACACACACACACCTCAAATGAAATTGTAATGCTTATTATAGACTAAACTGAATAACTGCATTTTAACTACCTAAAACTTTGACTTTTCTTGATAACTTTCAGAAACCTAACCACCATGAAAATGTTAAAAATTCGATCTTAATTTCAAGCAGTACTTGAAAATTTCCCTTGAACCCCAGTGCCCTGAGGAAACACTACAGCAGCGCTAGTCTGGACCCTCTGAGAGACCCAAGCCTTCTGTGTTCAATTATAGATGAGCAGATACAGGATCTACCGCTGGACGTTCAGCTGCCAAAAGAAATATAGTCTTTCACATTAAATATAGAGCCAATGTAGATACAACACCTTAACTAATATATGGGTCATTCATATATACAATAACATTTTTTTTTTTTTTTTTTTTTTTTTAAAGATAAAATAAAATAATGTAATATTAAGACTTGTTTTCAGAGATTATTTTTATTTATATAAAATATTTTTTATTTTATTTCAGGTTGTTTTTAAAAAAAAGCTGCAGTATGTGCTTAAAACAAAATATATTCTCTGAAAACAAGTCTTACACAATTGTAATTCTTATGTAAATGATTATTTACTTGATTATTATTATTATCATTCATTATTATATGATATATATTATATCGTTATTTTATTATTTTTATTGGAAAACAAGACAAAAAATATGATTAAACTAAGGCTTTTTTTGCAATCCACCATATAATCCTGTGTATTCAGCCTTAATTTTTATGAATCACATGAGAAACTTTTGCATGCTCAGCAAAATCCTGACCTGATTAGAAGGCACAAAATAGCATCTGACATTTTTTGTGATGCTTCATGAATCCTATAGGCCCAGAAATAAACACTTGAAAGGTCTTCCTTAAGTAATAGCTGCGGTTACGTGAGATTTGACTGGGGAATGCGGCAGTGCTCAGGTAAAATCTGAACTGTGGAAGTGATTGTCCGAGTGCACTGCTGCATTGCAGTGCTTTCAGCGCCATAAAAAAGTGTAAAATGCACTTGACTGAGCTGTGTGATGAGAGAGAGAGACAGAAGAGTGATCAACAAGTACTTGAGGACTAGTGTGTGTTATTATGTATTCGAGATAATTTCTTGAAAACCTTCAGCTCAACAAATGACAAACAGACATAGCAGGAACACAGCAGTTAAGGTTCTTCTGTTACTGTTGTTTTGCATGTGAGTTGTGCACTAGGGAAAAGTCAAAACTTTTCTGGCTCTCATGTAAATGTGTGTCTGTGTCCCTTTGAGAGTATCATGAGCTGAGAGGGAGGAGGAAAGAAGTAGTCAAATGAACGAAGGAGGGGAGAGGAGGTTGCTAGGGGAAACCAGACATGATGTAATTGTCGGATGAACCTGTGCTTGAGGAAGTGGAAAAGGAAGAGACCACTGCAACCAATCAAATTGACCAATCTGTTTTGATGACAGAGACTTAATACTGGACTGGCCTGGGAATCATTGACTGTCCAGACCTAGTTTGACAAAACACACTTGCAGTTCTTGCTATTTTTAAATTACTGACTATTAAAAAAACTTGATTATTATTAAACAATATTTTTTTACTTGAATACAACTTAATTAAAAATTATTAGTTTTATTTCTAAAAATAATCAGAAAAATTACATTTTTAATGAAAAATTACAAAGAAAAATAAACTAAAAATAATCTGAAAAAAATCATTTTAATCTTAAATCAAATGTAAATAAAAGATGAAAAACTTAAACTAATCAAAAATGTTAAATGATGCCTTGGCAACTGAATGAAAGAAGTTTAAGTTGAAGCACTAAAATTAAATGAATAAACACTAAAACTAAACTTTTTAAAGTTTTAAAAGTAAATTAAATGTAAAGTAACTGAAAATATTATTAACAAATATAATAATATCTAAATAATTCTAAAATAACACCGGTGAAAGTCCTGTCATACCTGATTTTACTCTTAAAAATAAAGTAAATAATTATTATAATTATTATTATTAAGCAGTATTGCTGCATTTATTTTTGATATACCTGTTTTTTTTACTTTCCTTTCTTTTTCACTCTCATTCCATGTCTTTGTATTAAACTCAGTTTAATGGACTTCTGTTTTCTTTTCTCTGATGAAAAGGGTACGTTGCTAACGAGCTTTGTTTTTAGAGGAGCTTGTATTTCAGCCTCACCACCAAGCTCTCCTGAAGCATTTTAATTAAAGGGAGAGACTGTCATTTGTTAGGCTCTTGTGGTCTAATATGTCCCCCTTCTTGGACTGTGATCCCGCCCTTGTCTCAGCTTTATATTTTCATAACATAAACCACCTGTCACCAAGACAAAGCCTGCAGCTTTTATAGGGAACTAAATATTTTGTTTGGAGTGAGTGAACGCCTAACCACTATTAGCCTGGGCTCTACTGGTCGCTGTGTCCTCAGAACAGAATGAGTGAGAGAGAAAGTTTGAGCTTTGGATGCAAGAAAAATGAAAATATCAGGCAAAAGAGTACAGTCTGGTAAAAAGAGAACAGTCTGGAATGGTGGACTGAAACCCGTGTGATGAGACAAAGATGGAATGGTTACTCTCCAGATTTTATCCTTGATTAAAAATTACATTTGTTTGCCATTATCAATATCAAATAAATTATAAATGTGTTAATTAAATATTACATTTTTCACAAATGTTCACACTGTATAATTTTCACATCTGGAGTTTGGCTAATATTTATACATCTTTTATAGACTTTTTAATAATAAAAACAGAATATTTGTCATTTTTATAAATATAACAGAAGTTGTGGCAATATGGTGTGCTTATAGTTTATCTAGTCAAGCTTTTACGTCTTAGCTTGTGAATTTTCATCCATTTAACCCATTTGTTTATTGTTCCACCAATCAGCCTTAATCTGACTCAGCTCACCAAGATAATTGACCACTGAAAACTTCCATAAAGAAAGCAAATAGTATGTAATTTCATGGCACACTTGGGTAATGTTGAATATCTACTTAACTGAATGTCTTTAGTCAGCTTCACTAGTGGTTTTGCATCGGTTTGGTTGTATCAACATTTGTATAGATGAATTTGATGATAATTCATCCCCACTTTCTGGCCAGTGTCTGTTGGCCTACACCACATAAATCAAAGAAACAACAGGAGATGACGATCATATTTAAGTGTAAATTCTAATTAGGCCATCAATTTGAGGTGAGATTAAAGATGATATCTATCACAACCAAGAAGAGAGGCATATGTTGCAGCACATTTTCCTACCAAAAAAATTTCCATAACTTACGCTGGAAATATATTAAATCTCAACTTGACTCTCTAGAGAAAGAGGATTTATCTTATCAAGAGACATTTTCAATATAGTAAAATGGCCAAGATGATATCCAGAGCTCTGGAGTATAGATTTGTTTGTGAGTGTGTGTGTGTGTGTGTGTGTGTGTGTGTGTGTGTGTGTGCATGCGTGCGTGCGTGTGTTTCTCTAGAATATATGTATAAATTCAGTTTTTCATCTCAAGTATTCAAGGGTAACATTTAGCCTTTCGGTTTCGGGTGAAATGCATTTTGACAAAGGAGTGGCTATAATTGTGCTGTCAAATTCACAAGGCTCACTCTCTTGGGCTTGGATTTGATCCAGTAATCAACACGAAATATGATTTGGGAAAACTGCATCACAATACACTGTAGTAATCATTCAGAAAGCAGCATTTTTGCATTTCCCAGCAGTGTCGGCTGTCATTATAAACATATTTCTCTTTCTGGCAGTAGTTTCTAAAGTATGCTGAAGTGTCATGTGTTGTGTAAGGTTAACCTTAGCTCAAGTTTCCATATCAGAATCACACCATTCTCAGCTAGCTAGCAAACCGAAGTCAAAATAGACTGATTTCAATAAGTAAAGATGTTTATATACTGTTAGCTTAATATCTTGTGTTGTGGCATGTAATTTTAGATACCTGGTCCTGCATGTGGTCCATAGATTGTGAAACCCAACTTCTTGCTGATCAGTGACCAAGAGCTGCCAAAACTCTTTGGTGCCACGGCTGCCGTGTGCACTGTTTTTATACCTAAATGTGTCAGATTTTAACATAGATTCTCAAGGCTGTGTGCTAATATCTGATTTGGGGAGTCATTAGTCTGTGGTTTGGTGTTGTAGAAGAATCAAGCCATCAGTCAGATGTATACAAACTCTTCAGCAGGGAATGGGAACAAATTTTCCTTTTTTTAGTATTATTAAATCAATATATTTGGGGGTAGTTAAAGACGTCTGTTGGACTGCTGTGAAATTACTTAAAACCTTAGTGGAAAATATTGAGCCAGGGGCTTATGGCATGAAATCCTTTTTTCTGTTTTTAAACCTTGTCAAATTTAAAAAAAGACTTCAGTGGTCTGTGAATGAAAGCCAAAATCCTGTTATGCTTTTAAAAGGTTTGGGTGGGATCCTGCTGAGCTCTCTCTCACTGTCTGGCACACATAGCATTTTACTCTGTATTAGTTTTAATAGGTTTCTCAATTCTGGCCCCCGACTAAGTGTTTGCCTCCCATTATCAGAAACCCACTGATTGTAGTTGTAACGTCCAGCTCATTAGATTCTGCTTTGGAGAGTTTTTACATTATTTAGATCCACATGGACAGGACACATACCACTTACTGTCACCACCACATTCAAAACCTAAACACACACACAGCTCACACTCTAGCAGGGTATATGGATGTTTCTTTAGCTACTGACACTTAAATTGGCCAGGGTGTGATTTTTATTTATTTTTTTTTATTTTTTTACCAAAAATGTCCACCAAGGCTGCATTTATTTGATCATAAATACAGTAAAAATAGTCATTTAGTGACACATTATTACAATTTGAAAAAACTCTGTTAATTTTTTATATATTTTAAAATGCCATTCCCTCTTGTGATCGCAAAGCTGAATTTTCAGCAGCCATTACTCCAGTCTTCAGTGTCACATGATCCTTCAGAAATCATTCTAATATGTTGATAGAAACATTTCTTATTATCAATGTTGAAAACAGTTGCACTTCTTTACATTTTTGTGCAAAACCGTCATGAAGTTCAAAGGAATAGCATTTATTTGAAATTCTTGAAAAATGTTTAACGATGTAAAAGTCTTTACCTTCATTTTGATCAATTTAATGCATCCTTGATGAACAAAAGTATTAATTTCTTTAAAAAAAGACTTCGATGGTTGTGTAAATATCACTTGTGAACAGAATATTTTTTATTGTGTATAATTTCTAATCAAATTATAAAGTTGTCAAATTATGCATTAGGATGCATGAAAAGTGAAATGACTGTTGGCTATGAAATAAGTCATAACAAGTCAAAAGTAGTTGACCTTTTTATTTCAGAAATGTAATTTCAACCACAAAATGCTATAACAGTACACAATTTGAGATGTGATGAAAATGACATTGTGGTGGAAATGTTTATGTGGTCTGAGAAAAATGGCAAAATGACAGAACGATGAATGAATGTTTGTTTGTCCTGTGTTGAACATTGTTAGTAGACAAAAGCTAGTGTGAAAAGTGTGTTTTAAGAAAGTTTATTTTTCTAAAACTGTACAAAGCCAAAGGTGCCCATTGTTTAAGAAAACCCATATAAATCGCCCTGTGCATTCAATTTAGATGAAGCTGACCCATCTCGACTAGACTGCAGTCAGGTTCCGATGAGTTTTTATCTGATTTAGCTGGATATCCCATAGCGCTCCTCCTATTGTTACTTGTGTTTGTACAGATGTCTTGGTGATTTTGATTCTCTCTCTTTCTCTCTCTTGCAGTCCTGGTATCTGGGGAACTGATCATCACACACACGCAGACGAACCCGAGGAGGCACAGACATGGATTTGAAAAATAAATTTTTGGTGGAATTTACAAGAAAAAAAGTTGTGAACGAGATGCAAGAGGGAAAATCAGATATATATGCAGTATTTTTATATATACACACACACGCATATATATATATATACACAATATGTGTGTATAGATATATGTGCACACATATTTATATATGCATAACAACGTACAGTATAAGATGCTTCAATACACTTTTTTTTTTTTTTTTGAAAAGACAATGGAAATGGATAAGAGCGTGAGAGAATGGCCATAGATGGAACAGAAGAAAAGGAGACAAAAGAGGAGGATTTTTTTGTTTTTCTGGGAGGGCAGCCCAAACTATGACATATATTGACGGACGTGTCAAAAAGGCCCACTCTGCCTCCTGGAATGCCTCTCCTCAATCTTCTCCTCAATCCTCTCCTTCTGCTACAGGTGCTGCTTCCTCCTATATGCAAAATAAGTATCCTTTATTTTCTTAACAAACAGGGAAGAGAAACCCCAATGAAAGGGTTTTTCTGCTAGCATTTCACCACAGGTTTGGAGGTGAGCGCGGTCTGTTTTTATTCTTTTTTTTTAAGTGCGCAAGGCAACACGATATGGAAAAGGAAAGGAAAAGGTCGATGCTTCCATTCACATGACATTTTGGAAAAAGAAAAGAAACGAAAAGGCTACTTTTCATCCAGTTTTATTGACAATCATGTATCTGCGTCCTTGGTTTCATTCGGAGGGTGATGTTTTCTAAATTGCATTCTCCACCGTTTTTAACGGAGTCCACTTTTTGGTGGAAGCCTGTCATTTTTTGTACATCAGAGGAATATTAGTGGTACCTCAGTGACATTATACATAACAGTCAGCGTCTATACACACATGCGCACACACTTACATGTAAACACACCTATCTTGAGGCAATGGCATGTACTGTTAAAGGCTACATGAGGTGTGTGTGAGCTGTGAAGCAGCCTTCATAGGATGAGCCAGGGAATAGCAGGGGGGAATTAGCACCTTTCTCTCTTCGCAATATGAAAGCCCCTCATTCCCTGGACCCTGCTGTAAGTGTGTGTGCATGTGCATCTGTGTGTTTGTGCGTGTCATAAACATTGGTAGACCCTTATTCATCTCTGTGAGTTCACAGATTAGGGGGTTTTGATTCATGTAGATACGTGGATTTTTCCGCATAGTGACAAAGGGAGTTGAAATATAGTTCTGTCATTACTTAGACAGTATTGGGTGTAGAGGATAGAATTTTTTGTTCTCTATGTGGAATTTGTTTAAATTCATTGGAAATTACAGGCATTGCACTACTTAAAAAAAAAAATTTCTCTCTTTTTCAAATTCCTGTTCGGCCTAATCATATGGAATGCTGCGAGTCGATTATTTTTGTCATGTTCTGATCTCGCGATAGATGAGGGTTGGTTTCCTAGTAGCTAAGAAGCTGATCAGAACAATCCAACATTTTCTATGTAAATGTGTCCATGTTTATGTGATTACTTTTATACAACTCCCATAGTTTAAGAAGAAAAAAAACATGCTTTTTTTCCCCCACATTTCTAATGCAAGAAACTATGACTGTTTTTATTTTGAAGCAGATTATACACTTAAATCCGTAGGAACGTCAATGATTTGGATGTCTGATGTGAGACGGGCTGTAATGCCCTACGACGAAAATACAAATGGAAGTGAGTGGCTATGCTGCCCATCCCAGAGTACATTGGGAGGTGGACGCCTACGACCAGCATGTCTCTGGTTGGTTGCCTCAGAAATGGGTTATTCTGCACTCTGAGATGTGTTGATTTGTACTAATGAAATAACATCAGGGCTTAATCTACAACGCTACCGAACCCAAATCACAAAGCCATGAAAAGTGCCTGAGACATTGTGAGATTTTCATTTGAATTATTATTTTTTATTTTTTTTACCTTGGATGTTTTGCTTCATCTGCTGTGGGTTGTTGTTGTTCGAGGGGTTGTTTTTATGCCCAGTGAGATATTTTAAAAGGCCTAACAAGCCCCCAAGCCCCTCATCAGCTGCATGGGCTTAGCCACAGGAAACGCAGACGGCTGAACAAAACACACACGCACCCTTATAATCTGCCAGAACATGACAAAATCAGCGCATATCAGTGCTTTACTAGGTACCCTCACAAACACACACACACCGATATTATATAATATCCACAAACTCTGGTTGCTTTAGCTAACCTTTTATAATGGCTTTGCATAGACATTCTATTGAGTTAACCATAGTAAGGCCCAGAATACATACGACATGACTTGTTTTAATGGTGCTGATATGAAAATTATATGGAAATCTCTATATATGAATTATATATAACTGTGCATGGTGCTTTCAAAAGAAAAAATCATAAGAATTGAGCTCAAATGACCACCATATCGCTGACATGGGCGCATGGCAGATAATGTTAGTATTAGCTCTGAAGCAAAATGCTCCCCAACTCCTCCTTAATATAACCCCCTTTGAGCAAAGAGCCAATGACACAGATGGATTTTACTTTTGTACTACATTGGTTTGACTTTTATCCAACGATCCCTCTTCTACTTTGCACGATATTTTATAAAACATATTATGTGCCTTGCCTTTAGTTAAGAATGATAATGCGTAATTTTAAAAGAGTCGATTAATTTTTTCTTTATTTGATGTAACCAGTGTCACAAAGGAAAATAATGCTGCATGTTTGATTGCCTGTCATTATGAGAAGAAGACTAACAGGTTACCTGATAGCTGTAGTTTTGGATGGGCGAGAGGCTTTTTTTTTACCCTCTTCCTCTTCTAAAAGCACTGTAGTTGGCATGAAATCTTCGCTGCATTATTTTCTTACCGTTTTATTTCCCTCTTCCGTTCATGTAATGAGAAAGTAACAATCTGTGAAAGATGCAGTACCAGCTCTCTTCATATTCCGTTTTGATGTTAAGTTTCTCTTAAATTGTTTAGATTGTATGTTATCATGTGTTTAAATCAATTCGTACCCATTATGGATGTGAAGAGGAGCGGCCAGAGATGGACATCTTGAATATTAGATGGCCATCCTCTATAAACCCATGAACTAGTTTTGGTCAGGTTTAAATTCAACAACTGAGCACTTAGCAAATTATTTTGCAATCAGCCAGACTTTACATCCCCACAGAGAGATTTTTGCTTTATATCAAAGGGTCAAATTTACATTTCATTATTTCAGAAAACCCAGGCATTTGTTAGATAGTTCACACAAAAATTTAAATGTACACTGTAAAAAAAAAAAAAAAAAATTATATAATAAAACGATCAATATTGCCACATATGTGTTTCCATTAACTCATCAAACCAATTTCCAACTAATTTTAACCAATATGAGATTCAACTCAATTTTTATAAAATGACTTGTATGGCCAATTTGATTATACTTAAAAATTGATGGCAGCAACGAACTTAAGTAGATGGATTATTAGTATTATTTACAGTGTTCTCAGGACTATTAAACAGAAGAATCAACTTTCATTTTCCAAAACCCCACAAAGTGTATTGTGTATATTTAATTTGTTTTAATTGAGATTTATTCAAAACAATGTTTTACGTATATTCATTATATAAATAGGCTATATTTTAAATTCAGACATGCTGACAAATGTCTAACCAAGTTAAATAGTCTGCATTTATCCTTATTTTAGCTTAATAAAAACTCAGTAGATGCATTAAAATGATAGTCACATCCCAGCCATTTTTTTTAGAGTTCACACAAAAAATTTAAAGTACAATGCAAAAAAAAAAAAAAAAATATATATATATATATATATATATATATATTAGTTGTAAATAAAGCAAAGCTTATTGGAGTATGTTTTAAAAGAAAATACTATTTCAGTATTTCTGCTTTAAAAAAAATTGCTAATTTAATTAAAAGTGTTAGTGTAAATTGTTTCCACACCATTATTTATTCTCCCTTATGTTTTTCCAAACTTTTATGACATTCTTTACTTTTTCTGTGGAGCACAAAAGAAGATATTTTGAAAAATGTTTATATGTTTTGTTGTCCGTACAATGAAAGTCAGTAGAGTCCAGTGTTGTTTTGAACCCCATTGACTTTCACTCTATTGACAAAAACAATTGAATAATTTCAAAAAATATCAGATCCACAGAAAAAAAGAAAGGAAGTCATACAAGTTTTGAACAACATGAGGGTGAATAATTATTAAGAAAATGTGAACTGTCCCTTTAACCCCTTCGTGAGGGATCAACACTGGCTGCAATGTAGTGATGTGTGACCATAAATGATTACTTTAATTAGTTAATCATTTTAATAAGCTGTTTTACTATTCGAGTCCCTTGCATATGTCTATACATTAATTGTAGAATGCTTTCATAGAGAGTAGTTGAAAAGTATTAGTCCAATTCAATGTACTTACACAAGAACAGCAAGAAACCATTGAACTGCTGACGTTGTGTCTTATGAAAATGAATTAATAAACCAGGATGCTTTGTCTTCTTCTTCTTTCTTTTTTTTATAAAATTAGATGGTAGGAGATAATTTATAATTCGTATTGTCAGGGGAGTATATTGCAGAGGAGAAGATATTGTGTATTTCTGGAGCTGGGTCAGGAGAGGCCATGTTGTAGTTTGTGATGCAGTGTACAGTATTGTTTCTGCAATGGATATTGCAGTGCTGGTAGCTATTTAAAAGTTTAAGTCGAATGAGAACAAACAAGAGATTTTGTTTACATCATGCCCGTGGTAAGATCTTGGTCGTGGATGATTTGTGAGCCCGCCGTTGTCCACCCTGGCCGAATCGGAGTGCTATTGCAGAATGGCATTCCATCTGTACCATGATCCAAACCCTTTGCAGAAGTGCTAGCATCATTCAGCAAGCAATTTTCCTTGTGTTTAACAGGACAGGCGGCAGGACAGGGGTCTGCCTCGGAGAGTGAGGCCCAGTTGGATTATTTTAGAGTGGTTTTGAAGCAGAAATGGCTAACTTTATAGTTGTAAATTACCTGAAGCGCCGACGAATTGCCCCAGTCAGACTCGCATGACCTGCAGCCTGTCCTGTGAAGATTTGCACTGCTCCATTTTCATCTTTCTAAAGCTGTCAACCCTCTGGCCAGGTTGCGACGGTGGGCTCAGTAGAACAGGGGTCTGATCGTAGTTTCGCCCGCGCAGCGGCTCTGTGCTGAGCTCTGTGAGCATGCCGTCTTCGTTTGCTTTTTGTATATGATAAAATTAGCTACACACAGCTGAGCAGCTGAGAATTTGAAACGCTTCAAGAGCAGAATGTTGCCCCGATGTGTGCTTTTTAAAGTGGCCACAGGTGATGATTGAACTTGCTATGACATGAATAATGCATTTGAGCTAATGCATGTAAAAAAACTTTATCTTACTGTTTGATTTTGAAACCCTTGACTAATATTTTTAATATATTATAATTTTTAATGCTTGTTGTTGAAATGTTACATTTTGAACGCAGTTATCTTGTGTATAAATGCTTACCATATATCCAGTAGAATGAGGAAAAAGACAAATGTATATAAAAATTTCTTTTTTTGTATGATAATTTTTTTTTAATGTTTGGATTTAGTAGACATAAGCTTGTGGTCAAGCCACAAAAAATTTTGAAAGCTCCTTCTAAAGGATCTGCTGTTGAGAAGAAAATGTCAGCACCATTAGCACACACCTTTCACACAGTTATCAAGTGTTATTTTGATCACAGAATATGGGCTCCAGTAAATTCAGCATCACTTGTCGTCATTTTAAACCGAGCCAACAGCTTCACTGAGCTTTAGAGGTTTATGCCGATTCCATTGCCAATTTCTGTTATCTCCAAGACTTATTTGAAATCTCTGCACTTATTTTTTTCTTGTTTGTCATGCTAGCTTCAAGATCTTTAAACACATTTTTCCTGTACTTCTACTTGGAAGATTGCACTAGATAATCTGGTATTAAAACTTTGTCTAATAATAATGCTTTTTAAGGTTTGCTTCTCTGTGGATATTTTTCAGCCTTGATGATCATGATGAATGGAGACTAATGATGAGAATGAAAGAGAGATGAAGCTGCTTGAATGGCATCCATTTATTTACCTGTTGTCATTTATGTGATAAATTTACCCTTTTAAGATGTTGAAATCATGCCAGGTTCCTGTACACTGCAAACCGAGGTTTGAACCGGATTGTTGAAGTAGAAATGCGTACAGTCACACTCCAACAATCATCTTCTTAATCAGTACTTTGTCTTTTTCTATTAAAAATCTAAACATCCTTGAAACAAAATGCATTTACCTTTGAATCAAGATTGCATAAGATATTAAGAGAATATTACGTTTATTTGTCTCACTCCATTGGCAAAGTTTTTTTTTGTAAAACAAATGTATGTATATATATACACATTACATACATAATATACATTACCATTCCAAAGGTTGGGGTCAGTAAGATTCAGCAAGGGCACGTTACATCGATCAAAAGTACATTTATAATGTTATACATTGTTTGCTTTTCTTTTGAACTTTCTGTATCAAAGAATGAAAAAGAATCATGGTTTCCACAAACATTGATAATAATAAAAATGTTTCTTGATCTGCAAATCAGCATATTAGAATGATTTCTGTTAGACTGACAGCCATCACAGGAATATATTACATTTTGAAGTATATTCAAATAGAAAACAGTTCTTTTAAATTGTAATAATATTTCACAATATTACTGTATTTTGATCAAATAATCAACTTTGGTGAACATAAGACTTCTTTCAAAAACATTTAAAAGATTTTACCGACCCCGACCTTTTGAACGGTTGTGTATTAACAAAGTATTGAGATGCAATTTTGTTATTGACCAAATACTTATTTTCCACCATAATTTGCAAATAAATTCTTTAAAAATCCTACAATGTGATTTTCTGGATTTTTTTTTCTCATTTTGTCTCTCATAGTTGAGGTATACCTATGATGAAAATTACAGGCCTCTCTCATCTTTTTAAGTGGGAGAACTTGCACAATTGGTGGCTGACTAAATACTTTTTTCCCCCACTGTATATATATAAATTAGGGATGTTTAGGTCTTTTTACTTGAGAAACATATAAAAATACAGACTAAAGATTTTTTTTGGTGCATTTTTTTTAAAACCAAATCTGGACAATCAGTGGCATGGTTTACCTCAGCCCGTTGATAGTTTTATGGAGTGTGTGTGTACAGGCTAACATAACTAGCAGGACTTTAGACCTCACTCTTCTGAGTGCCTTCCTGGATTCAGCTTCAAGCTGTTGGATGTGGGTTTACTGTGTGTGATCTTCCCCCTAGTTTTGTAAGATCAGCCTACTCATGCCTGTATTTATTCAGAATTGGCAGAATGTGCATCACTGAAAAGATTGTTTAATTCCGAGGTCCATGCACTTTAATTAGTCATCGACACATGTAATTATGCTGAATAGAATGTAAGTTTCCCAAGTCTAATTTCCCTGTTCACCCACTGACATAAACAGGATGTGAGGAGACCCTGCTCAAGCATACGTGAGAGAATTAGACATGCATGACTGTTTCATATTGTACCATTTCCTTTTGCGGTTTGTGTAATGTAAACCCTGCAATACCATGAACTTTGCATAGTCAAGGTAGATAGAACCGTGAGCATGCGGACAGATCGTTGTTTTGTCTCCTCTCAGTAAGGGCTGGATAACCTCTTCAGGGCTGAGGCACTGGAATGCAGTTTCTACTCTTTCCTTCCTTCCATTTTCGATGTTGTGACACTTGGCAGGATGTATTTCGTAGTTTTCCAAAGTTGATGAATTGACATGTGACATGCTTGATACTGGCAGCAACTGGTGAATCTGAAATTGATGATGTGCAGTTATGTTAGTCTGCACCAGTTTGAAACCCATAATAACAGATCAATCAAGCTACTCGGTTTGAAATCAAACTAGCAGTAATACACTAAAGATCTGGAAATTGTACTTGTGTAAAAATCTGAATAGCATCTATGCAACTAATTCAGGCTTTATACTGAACTTTGTGCAGAAACGTCTTTCTAATGTTAAGGACTAAGCCGTCTAAGCTGCGCTAAACCTACCATTATAATAGTCAAATATAGTGAAAAAAGACTGTTAGTTTAATACTG